TTGGGAAGGAAGGCCCTGGGCCATGGTCCTCACATTTTGGATCAGAATAATCTCACCCTAATTTTCATTTATAGATTGGGTGTGGCTTATTTTCATTGACAGTACAGGTGGTTACTACAGAGGAAGTCTTCATTGAGAAGGTTAACATTTGAGTAAGGACCTGAAAAGGAGATACTCAGGGGGTGTTCCAGGCCCGGGGGTGGTGGTGGTGGTGGTGGTGTCCCCATACCTGAGGAGGGAGTGGCTGGAGTAAGGAGGCAAAAAGTAGAGGTGAATTCCTTGTGGGTCAGTTCTCTGTAGGATCTCACAGATCATTTTAGGTTTGTAGGGGAGGAAGACATTTCCTCTGCCTTCTCTGGGTTCATCTGGCTGGAGAACGAATTAAATTCACATGAGACAGAATAGCAAGAGAAAATTAAACAAAGCTTTATGAGGACCATGGTCCAGGGCCTTTCTTCTCGAAGGAAGAAAGGGCACTGAAGAAGTGGGGTGCACAGAGTGGTTATATACCCCCAAACAGGATGTTTCACATATGATTGAAATGTCCCTCCCACAATAGTCACAAGATTGCCCTGTCAGCACAGCGCTTGATGGACACAGCTGATAGTGGGTCTGCTATCTTGGAGGGTGTAGCAGGAGGCAAGTCTATTGTCTCGAGCTGGGTGGTCACAGGTGAGCACAGCAATCAGTTCCTAACCTAAGGAAAGATGCTAATCTTTCAGGAAATGCCAACATTGGGAGGGGGAGAGAAGTTGCACCTTTATCTCAAGGGCCTTTGTTCTTGCCATAGGGAATCTCTAAAGCAGATATACAATGCATGCTCAATGCATGCCTTGGTCAGGCCCTTTTGGAAAGACAAGGTCAGGCTGAATTAGGTTTACACCAATTGACTTCCTCATGTACTCCAACACATCCCACTGCTTGCCATCTTTACCCATCAATGCATGCATGGGAGAGGCCCGGGCCAGCCAAGCAACCTGCCAAAATGGCGGAAACCACCACCCCAAATATCATATATCTAAAGACAAAGAAGGATGTTGGGGGCAGGGGGAGTCAGTTACAGGAGGTTACCAGACAAGCACAATAAACAAATGCAGATTTAAGTCCTTGCCTTCCCCATTTATTAAGAATTTCTAGAGACAAGGTCATCTCCCCTTATTCCTGGGAGAGAGGGAGATATCTTTACAGATGGAGAGTTCCTTTACAACGTAAATGTCTCTTACAAAGGGTAAGTAAATTTACTTTTCAGTTGCTTTCCTGTCTGCAAAGTAACTAGCCTCAAATAATCATCATGCCAAAGAGACATATCTTGGGGTGGCCAAATCCAGGTCCCGACAGGTTCATTGTAAGGCTTTTAGCTTTCACTCTGAATGAGATTGGAAGTTATTGGAAGGGAAATTTGGAAAATACAGAAAAGTAGAAATAAGGAAAATAGATGGTTCCCACACGCAAAGCCAATAGTTTCTTGCATCCTGTTGTGCCCCTCCTTAGACCCTTCAGCAGCTTCCTTTGCTGGCAAGAATGAGGTCCTAAATCCCAATCCGGCCCTCACTTCTCCTATACTCTCCTCCGTCTCGCTTTAGCCTCTCACTGTGACTAAAAACTATCTTTCAGTTTTTCAAATTCTACTCTCTATCGCCCTTTTCTACATGGCCTTTGCATATTTCTTGTCTTCTGCCTTTGTTTGGGTTCACTCCTGCACGTTCTTTAGATCCCAACTTTCATTCATTCACTCAACCTCTGCAGTTGCATACAGGTCTGTGCTCAGAAAGTCCTGTGATTGCTTTAATCCTCTTCTGTCACCATCTTGAAATCTGCAATAATTTTGAACAAGGGGCCCCACACGTGGCTGCTCCTGTTGATCACCTGCTGTGCATCTCTCTCTCAGTGCTGGGGATACAATGGAGAACAAAAAAGATGTGCTCTCTGCTTCCGTGGAGCCTTCAGATTAGTGGACGACATAAACAGTGCTCAAACAACCAGAAAATAAATATACGATGGCAACTGAGAAAAATGCTACAAAGGAAAGAAATATGGGAATTTAGCTTAGTCAGACGAGTAGGCGGTTCCTCTCCGAGGAAGTGAGGGGTTAGCGGAGTCCTGGAGCATGAGGAAAGAACCCGGCTTTCTCTGACTTCCCCACTATGCCCTTTGATTGCGTCCTCCTGTTCTAGCCCCTCATTGTGCACTGTACTTCCCTTTTTTATAATGCTTACTCATGTTATAATTAACTATTTGTTCAATAGCCAACTTTCTAGAGAGAGTATAAGCTCACAGGTGTCTCCCTATTCACCACTGTATCCTCAGACCACAGCACAGTGCCTGGTACACAGCATTTAAGTAATATATATATATTATATATTATATATATATAATATATATATATGAGGAAGATTGGCCCTGAGCTAACATCTGTGCCAATCTTCCTCTGTCTTGTATGTGGGACACTGCCACAGCATGGCTTGATGGGCAGTGTGCAGGTCCACGCCTGGGATCTGAACCAGCAAATCCTGGGCCGCTGAAGTGGAGTGGACAAACTTAACCACTATGCCACTGGGCTGGCCCTAAGTAATATTTTTGAGTGAAAAGATTATTAAATTTTTGGCTATCATCTTTTGATGCATCATTAACTTTTTTAATATACAATTTAGTGGTCTGTATTTTTATTTATTTACTCTTTTGAGGAAGATTAGCCCTGAGCTAATTGCTGCCAATCATCCTCTTTTTGCTGAGGAAGACTGGCCCTGAGCTAACATCCATGCCCATCTTTCTCTACTTTATAGGTGGGACGCCTGCCACACCATGGCTTGCCAAGTGGTGCCGTGTCCGCCCCCAGGATCTGAACCGGCGAACCCCGGGCTGCCAAAGCGGAATGTGTGCACTTAACTCCAATTGTCTGTATTTTTAAAAAGAATTTAACACTGAGAAGTTTCCCATTTTTAAACAAATTTCATAAAATGGCTAAATCGGGGGCTTTGAAAACTTATCTGGATGTTGGTGTTCAGAATGGATTGGAAAGGGGAGAGAGTTATTAGACAATAGGTATAAAGTGGAGGAGAATTGGAATTAATAGTGTACATTTACTTATTTAGCAACATTTACTAAGGACTTACTATTAGGCAGTGTCTTAGGCACTGGCCATGTAGTAGTAAAAAAAAAATAACGACAGAATCCTCTCTTGGAATTTATAATGTAGTGAGTACCAATGTCAGGGATAGAAAGGAAAAAACAATCCTCCCTTTTCACCTTTTTCACAGATGTAGCAATGCCACGAGTAGGGAGAATGCCAGTGTCCCATTGGAGGGGACCTAGAGAAATGTTTTGCAAAAATTCTGAAAGTTTGATGTTCTAGTGGAATATTTTCCCTGACTTGCTGGTAGATGTTTTCTATTGTTGTAACTTTCTCCTTTGAGTAATGTTTTTATCCTTTTTTGGTTCCTTTAACTCTCGCTTTTTTAAAAAAAAATCAAAAGTAACTAAATACTAGTAAAAAGGAACGGCTAATATGCTGCTCTCTCTCAGAGACAGTCATTCTTTTGTTTTTCCACTTTGGAGGCCTTTGTAACTGGTTATCCTCCCTAACCTGAAGACAACAACTGTCATTCGAAAAAGTTATTTCCAACTGCCTCAGGGCATACTATCCTTTTCTCTTTTAAAGGCCTCCTCCAGAATACTCCTCTCCCGGTTTGAAAAGCGGTAGGGAATAAATGTGTGGTATCAAATATGCAGCCATTTGCCACTCCCTACTCACTGCCCCTCTTACTGCCACAGAAAATGTCTGGGGATAAACACAGACGTCGTAGTCTGTCCTCCCAGGGAAGATTATGGAGGGAACAAAGAAAGGGCACTTTTAATCCTCAGAGAAAGCTGTTTCCCAAAGGTTAAACGTTAACTCAGAACAAAAGGAAAGAGAGGAAACGTATATCTAAAAAACTTAACTCTGAATGAGAGGTACTCAGAAGGTCGGTTGTTTCCTGGGGAAAAGGAGAGGGGGCGAATGCCAGGGCTTTGCTGTATAACCTCGGGCACGCCACCTGAATGTCTTCGAACCCGTGTCCTAGCTTGAGACTTTCCACCGAGGATCTTTCAGTTTCCTTTATCTCTCCAATCCTATGATTCTATGATTCCGTGGTCCGAGATGGGCCATTCTGTTGATTTCCTAGTCTCCAGGAGTGCACTAACTCGATGCAGAATCACCAACGCGGAGGTGGGTGAACTTCACGTTTACGGGGTTTGGACTAGAGAGATGCTCTTGGAGAATTTCCGAGAGGGCCTTTGCCCCGTCCTTGAACCTGATTTACAGTTCCCGCGACTCCTCGGGATGGGGGTGGGGGTGTGGGGAGGACCTGTTTTAGACCGGGATGGTTCACGGCAGTGAGCGTTTCCCCTTTCCTTATTTTTGGACCTTTAAAAGAAGCAGCCAAGAGACAGATCCTAAAGCGGTGGAAGGGGAGACTGTGATGACCGGCTCCCGAAGGCCCGTGAAATCCCGCTTCCGCGTTCCCAGCCGTTCCCGGGGCGAGGACCTTTTTTAAACCCACATCTCGGGCGGACCGGGCCTGGAGCGCGGCCCCGAGCAGCGGCGGGGCGCCGGGGGCCGCGGGGCGGGAGGGGCCGGCGGGCGCGGAGCCACAGGGAGCGGCCGGGCGGGCCGAGGTGGGGCGGGCGGCGGCGCGAGCGCGGGGCGGCGGCGCGGAGGCGGGCGGGCGGCGGCGCGGGGCGGGCGGGCGGCGGCGCGGCGGGCGGGCGGGCGGCGGCAGGCGGGGCGGGCGCGGGGCGGCGGCGCGGAGGCGGGGCGGGCGCGGCGGCGGGAGGCGGGGCGGGCGCGGGGGGGCGGGCGGCGGCGCGGGGCGGGGCGGCGCGGAGGCGGGGCGGGTGGCGGCGCGGGCGGGGCCGGGGCCGGCGCAGCGGGCGGGCGACGCCTGCCGGCGGGCGGCGAGCCGAGAGCCGGGCCTGCCGCCGTCGCCGCCTGCGCGCCGTGCCCGCGCCCCCCTCGCGGCCGCGGTCGGGCATGGGCCGCCTCCGCCCCGCGCCCGCGCCGCGCGCCACCCGTAGCCGAGCCGTCGGAGCCGCCGTCCCCACCCGCGCCCCGGGCAGGAAGATGAGGCAGACGGGCCCGGCGCTCGGCAGCCAGAGCAGCCGCGGCAGCGGGCGGGGGAGGGCGTCCGGCCGTTTCCTCTCAGCCGCCGGGACAAGATGGCAGCGGCCGCGGAGAGGGGCTGAGCCCGGGCTGGGCGGTGCCGCCTGCTGAGCGCCTGGCTCGCGTCCCCGGCACGGCCCCGCGCGCACGGACATGCCCAGGGCTGCGGCCGCCCGCGGCGGGGAGAGCGCGGGCCCCTAGAAGGTAAGGGCTCGGCGCGCGGGCCCCTCGGCCTCCGGCCCGCGTCCCCTCCGCCGCCCGCGCTCCCTCCGCCGCCCGCGCCCTGCCCGTCCCGGCCGCGCCCCTTGCGCCCCGCGAGCCCGCGGCCCGGCGCGCGCAGGCCTCGCTCGGAGCCCGGGCCCGGACATGCGGCTGCGCGGGGCCCCTGCGCGGCGGCGCGGCCTGCGGGGAGCGGCGCCCGGCCGGCGTTGCGCAACGGCCCTTCCCGGCCGCCGAAGTTGGGTCTCGGCCGCGGGCCCTGCGCGCGCCCGCCCGTCGGGACCCACGCGGCGCGCCGGCTCCGGGAGGCCCGCGGAAGGCGGGCGGCGGGCGCCGCGGGCGCGGGCCGGGTCGTCGGTCTCCACCTGTCGGGCGCCGCCGTCAGCTGGGCCCCCGGGGGTTGGGAGAGCGGCGGCGGCGGCGGCGGTTTCTCCTTCCTATTTTAGGTATTTGCTTGTTAGCTGCAGCTGCCCGAAGTGGAAATTTTCACGTTCGTCCCCTTCCAGTTTACCTCGAAGTTTTAATTGCGGGGCGCTTTAAAATTTTCAGAGGTTCCATTTTTGATCGAATTTTGGATGAAAACTTCGGAGCAGGATGGGTGGGTGGGTTGGTTCCCCAGCTGAGATGTTTGACGTCATCCTGCGTTTCTCGTGTAATTTTTCGGAAACTGAGCGCGCCTCGCCGTGTGGGATGCGTCCGGATTCTGCTGGCGTTTGCAAGCGCGGTGCTGATTTTCCAGGCTGAGCCGCGATAGGGTTTTGATAGGTCAGGATTAAACTTAGCGTTTAAGTAAACAAAATGCGGCGGGCTGGTTTTTGTTTTATCGAGCTCATAAGAGTTGATAACGTTGTGAGACTGCAGCTGTGCGTTCTTCCCGTTTGTCAGTCCCGGTATCAGTATCAAGGCGCCCCCCTCGCCGCCTCCGCCCACCCCCAGCCCCGCGCCCCGGGGACGCTGCACTGTGCGCGTTTCTCTTCCATGTGCGAGTGAGATCAGAGCCGCTTAATGCCCTCCGGGTCCATCCGTGTTGTTGTGAAGGGGGCGATTTTGTATGATTGACTTTTCTAAAAAATACTTTTTGTAGTTTTGCTGGTTGCCTTATGCCTTCATGCCACGTAACAGTAATTGGGATGCAAGTGAAGTTCTTTACTTTTAAGTCAACAAGGTATTTCTTGGTATATTTATGGGTACATTCATAATGTAGGGAACTCTTATTTATGGAATGTAATGCCCAACCTGTTTGAAGTTTATTTTCCTTTTAGTTTTGAAACTTATTGGTTTTGAATTTCTGTTAAGGTAGAGATGTGCTGAAATATTTGAGATTTTGGACGTTAGATTTTTTGTGTGTGTGTGCTTATAGGAAATTGAATAACAATTTAATTTGTTCCTTAACTCTTTTTTTTCTACTCTAGGGAATATGTTTTCTTAAAAAAATAAGAAATGTGGACAGCCTTACATTAAAACTATGTTTTGAAAAGGTAGGGTGAACTTAAAATCTAGAACAGAACCAACCATTAAATGTTTCAAATTTATATTTGGACATTGCTGACTACAGTAGCTAAACATACATATTAGGCAAGCAGATCATAACATGGTGAGCCAGTCTGAGTTTATTGTCATAATGCTGTTTCCGTTGAACTAGTCATTATCTTGCTTATAAACTAGTCATTAGCTTCTGGGCATGGAGTTTGAGAGTCACATAAAAGTGGATGGTTTTTTATGAGGTAATTCTTCCTGTAAACATGCTTGAAAAGAAGCTTCAGATCATACTACTTTAATGTTTTGGGTGTTCTGTCATGGAATACCATAAAATAAGGTGTAAATTACAGAGGTGGGTCGCTGTAGCTGGTATGGCCCGACGCATAAATAAGTATTTGTTTAATGCAGGGTATTGAAAGCCTTTTTTTTTCTTGCAACTTAAAATAGCAACAGCTGTCAAATGAAGTTCTGGATTGAGCTTTTGTTTTAAATATTTGATACTACAAGAGCACTGAAGGCATGTCTATGGGAGGGAAGCAGGGGAAAATGTGAATTTCGGAATGCTGTTTCCGGAGCCTGTCTCAGGTCCATTGGTGGAGCACTGGTGTGCATGTCACTTTCCATTTGAATGTTAGAATGTCTTATTCTGGTGACTCTGAAGTTGACTTTCTTAACGTGCTGGTCTCATTGTGGCAGTTCACCAGGGGTGGTGGTATGGTAGATTAGAACTGCATTACTGGGGGTTAATTCAAAGGCATAAAAAATGTAATTTCCATGGCAGCTTTATGTTTCAGTTTGGAGATGAAAACTTGTTCATGGCAATATGTAGATTTAAGGAACTTTGAAACTCTCTGTATTTAAAATATCCTGCCAGAGTTATTCTTACCTCTTAACTATTAGAGGATACAAAATAACTTGCTGTATAATTATATTGTTGCTGCCAAAAGAAATGTTGATGTAAAATTTCTGGGTTTGTGGCTGTGCTAATTTCCTAATATCTGAAGTTGAGGCTTCCAATGTGGTATGTTTAACTCGGAAGTTACATCTGAAGACAAACTGTTGGAACTTTGTTCAAATGGAGAGTCTGTCATTACTTTTTTAAAGGTGCCCCTCTCCCCCCACACAACTTGTTGACAGCTTTGTCATAGACAGCTCTTTTATATGATACAAATGTAAGTCTAAAGAAATTATTTTAAATGTCCTTACTGGTTCTGGATCCAGCTGCTTAGCAAGTATATCTTGCCTGTTACCCTTAAGCACTTGTAAGTTGGAGAGGGACATGTATTTGGAGTATAAGTTTTGAATCAGTGGAGGTTTTTAGGATAGCCAGAGCACTTATGTGGCCGACTTAAGGAAATATAGTCCACTTCTTTTGGTTGGGTTGGTATAATTAAGAGTGCTTTGTGGGAAAAACAACTTAATATTAGTGTGCTGCTTCTGACGCTTTGTCATAGCTGTTGTGGAACTTATCTTAATCACTGTTAGGACCAAGCTAAAATACATATTTGGAGGATGTATGTTAAACATTTTACCTAAATGTTTGTCCAGTTAGACCTTGACCTATCTAGCAGGTCAGGCTGTTGTCAGTTGGAACTTGGGCCGTGTCGCTGCGTGAAGGCCGCCTGTTGCCGTGGTTCTGAGGTGCACCACTGGGATCCTGTGCACCCAGAGCCGCCGCTCTTCCTCCTGGGTGGAAATGAAAGAGCTGGATGAGGATTGGAAATACTGTGTTTTTAGGGTGGCATTTGTGGTTTGGGGACAGTTAAGTCATTAAACTGATTTACTTTGTCTTATATTTAGTAGTCAGTACTTTAGAAAGCTGACTTTTTCCAACAGAAAGTCTTTGAAAAACAAACCAAGGGCAATATTTTTTACCTTAAATCTATTTTGTTACTTTGACCCAGATAGTTTCTCTAGTTTTCTAAGAGTGAGAATTTTTCCTTCCTGCAGGAGACTGAGTGGAGGGAAGGTTGTGGGACAGGTAGGGTAGAGGAAGCTGGGCTGTAGTTGGGGAAGAAGTTGGTTTAATTGGGTTTGGGAGACTTAGAAATGTGTTTTGACTTAAATGTTCAAGTTTTGTGGTAGCTTGGGGGAAAGATTAAGAACATGCCATGATACCTACTAAACGATCAGTCTGGTGAAATCTGTTTATCATCCTTGATCGAGTTTTAAAATTCTTTTTCTTCCCCTTGCCTCCCTATCTCTTTGTCTTTTGTTTCTTCAATATAAAAGACTTTTCTTTAAGAATTTAGAGAAGATTGGGTCAGCCTGCAGCCAGAGTGGCTGAGTTCGCACGCTCTGCTTTGGCCATCCAGGGTTTCGCAGGTTTGGATCCTGGAGGCGGACATGGCACTACTCATCAGGCCACGCTGGGGTGGCGTCCCACATGCCACAACTAAACACATACAACTATGTACCTGGGGGCTTTGGGAAGAAAAAGGGAAAAAAATAAAATCTTAAAAAAAAAAGAATTTAGAGAAGATAAACTTTCTGTACAGTTAAATCTCAGGCCTAACTTGAAGTCAGAAGTGCAAAGAGCATAGAATATATTACTGCTATTAAATGAGTTTGATTATAGGAATAATTTTAGTTTCTAGAGATCCTTAAAAATAAAACTATGGTACACATAGTGTCTGAGTCTAGGTTTTTGAAACTGAATTAAAGCCCACACTTCTCTGATATTTGCGACACAGTCCATTTTTACCTTCTGAGATAAACGTTTCTTCTTTTAAAGATTAGGTTTCCACATACACTTCGTGTTGCACTTACTTTGCTGCTTTGTCATTTTGTTATTTAAACGAACAGGTTACACTGAGAGGAAGTGGAGATTTAGAGAAGAGGAAGGGAGACGGACTTTGTCCTTTGCCCTTTTGAGCCTTACTTCCTCTTGGGTAAGGATCTAAGTTGTCAAAGGCTGGTTCTTCAGTCTGACTGTTGGTCACATTGAAAATAAAGGTTTGCCAGGGGTGGTCAGATAAGTTCTTTTTCATTTTGCATAATTGTTAATGCTGGAGGATCTTTTCTAATTGGAGAAAGATTGTTTAGATTTGATAGATATTGAAATAATCAGAGGAACCGAATATGTGACTCCCCTGCTTTAAAATTTTGTAGCCATTTATTATAAATTATATTTGATTACGTACGGCTTATCAAGAATTTTGTCTTTAAGATTTGATAGAAAATATAAAACTTGGCTGCATTTGACTAGCCAATTATTACATTTTAGAAATTAAAAAAAAAGTATTTGGTTTACCAAAAACATTTATATAACTTGAAATTCTTCAACTTCCCCCCTACTTTGTTGCTTATTACTCATAAATTAAACAAAGTATTTTACAATTTTAAAAAGATAAAATAGTATAAACACTGAAACTTTTGCAGAAAATAACTTGCTCAGAAAATGTTTCCAACCCTGTAATGCAGTTATTTAAAGGCCTAAAAATTTCATTTGTCTATATTCTGACTGTTAACTGTTTAATAATACAACGAGAGTCTTGTAGGTTTGG